AACTTGACAGGCTCGAGATGTCGGCGTCGATGACCGTAGACGGTATATTCGTCTCCGGACAAAGAGCGTCGACGTCCACAACATCGACAGGTTGTGTTTTCTCCATTGCCACTGTGTCGTATTGTGTTGGGTTCAATGTCCCATGGATGTCCAACAACACCTCTCCCCCCCTTAACTTCTTGTCCCCGTATGCTGTGTCTTTGTCGTCGTCACTCAAATAGAGAAATCTATCTCCAACAGCGTCAGAGGCCTTCTTCAGAACGTGCTCCCCCATCGCCTCGTTGTGAAGGGCTGAACTGGTAGCTCCATCCCGACGTTGCTGAGTGTCGGATCAATCTGGTCGTCGGCGGAATTGTCCTTGTCCAAAGTTGTCAGTAGTCGACAACCCTCAACGCCTGCCAGTTGAAGTCCTTCGTCGTGCCTCGGATGAATCTGAATCACGTTCGTCTCCAAAGATGCATCAGGGAGGGAGATGTTCACAGGGCTCTGGTTCGGATTCATCCGAGCCCCCGCAGTTTCCAATGACGCCGACATGTCCGCTTTCACCGGGGAGTCGCTTACGACTGCTAACTCGGCTCCGAGTGTGTTGGGCTCGACATTGGAACTGGTCGCCAACTCACCCTCAGTCCAACAGTCCGCCTGCATCTCCTTGTGGGCTTCCACGCAGAGCATTACTGCATCCTGACACCGATCATCTGTCATGGCAGACACGGCTTCCTGGTTCGGATGAATCTGAATTTCGTCGCCAGGGTTTTCGGAAACCCGGACCACCCGTTCGAGTTCTGTAGAAAGCTGTGCTCCCTCGATGGCACGGCCTTCGCGGTTCGGATTAATCCGAAATTCTTTTTGAGGCGAAACGAAACACGGTTCCAGCTTGTCGCTGCCGGACCCGTGGTATGTTGTCGTCTTGCTTCCCGGAAGGCACTGAGTTTCGGACAACGAGGTCGTCTCCAAGGTTCGAATTGATCCGAGACAGTCCGCCAACCGTATTTGGAGCTGAGCGAAGCATGTTCCATGCTTTGCGACACCCGCATCGACAAACTGTGTTTCGCTGGTGGAGCTAATCACAGGGTCCTTCTTGCCAGGCCGCGTAATACACCCAGGCCTCAAGTCGTTCCCCGTCTCCATTGAGGTGCTGCCTGTTACCGCCAGAACCCCACCGTCCTCGTCACGGTCGACATCGGACCCCTGCCCGTCTCCTCTGTGATGCTTTGTCTTCTCTCCGCTGCGAGGCTTCTTCTTCTCCCAGCTGCCCTTTCTCCCCTCTCCGCCACCTGCGTGCCCCGGAGACCGCTGTTTCCTCGATCGCTGTTCACTTCCACCTTCGGTACCTCGTTGCCAGCCGCCTTCACCATCCCCGTCGCCGTCCTTTCCGCGAGACTTGCGCTTCACAACTCCTGCCGGCGGGGTGACCCCAGGCAACTCCCAACTCACTTGCTTAATTGGCGGGCTTGACGGAAGGGCGTAGAACGCGGAGGACACTTCTAGCCATTTATTTGACTGCAAGAACTCGAACAGCGTGTCCCCGTATTCGTGAAGAGCAGGGTCGTCCTAATTTCGGCGATTGACCTCACTTAATCTCTCCAATACCGCATCGTAGGCGCGAGATTTGAATGTCTCGAGGTCCCAACGATCGTCATATATCCACCCTCCACTTACGTCCCTCACAGCCACTGCCCATTCGCCGTCGAGAAGGACTAGCTGGAAATGGTCTGGGTGCCACACGATATCATGGCCCCAATCTTCGGTTGTGGAGAAGGTGTGTTTGTCGCCCATGTGGAAGGGAGTCGCAGGAGCCTT